AGAAGCAGTGTGCATGAATGGTATAATTTCGTGCGAAGGGTTTGCGCAAGGCTCTTTTCAATCAGAGGCGACGGCACTGACTAGTATGAGTCTTTGTTCTGCTCGTGAAGGTATGTGCAAAGGGACCGGCAGAAGAAGTACTACGAACGGCAGAAGACGCATGCGCGCTTCAAGCGCCTCAAGCGCTACGAGGACGACGAGATCATGCTGTGTGCTGGAACGGTGTGTAGAATATGTGCCGCACGCTTAAGTCGCTTTCCGATGTGCCGCTTGCAGGAGCGCAATCAGACGGTGCCAGTGGAGCGACAGGCGCTGCTCGAGCGCGTCCTTGCCGAGGTAGGGGCGGGGGGGAATTTCTCTCTGTGTGTGAGCCCTTGCCACGCCGTGTGCAAGATCTGAAGTCCAGGGGGCGGACGCCGTGGAAGCTGACTATGTTGCTTGCTCGCAGCTCGCAGCCGGAGGTTTGAGGTTTGTTGTCCTGTCTTTAGAATGGCGAGGCAGCTGCCTTGGGCTTGAAGTTCGGCCTTTTGCTAGTAGGGTAGGGGGAACGTGATATGGAGCGCCAAGTGACTCCTTGGTCGCTGAGGCAAGGCGCTAAGCATTGTTCGTGGCTGATGCCGCTGATGCGAGAAATGTTATATGCTGGGTTACAAAACTACGGTGGGCGGAAGTGTATGGATGTGCACAGAGCTAGGTGTATCGCACAGTAGCAAAACCGTGCAAAGCCGAGTCAAGCAACTGTGCGCTTGTGCCACTGACCCTTGGACCTGACCCTTTGCGGCATGCTCCGGACCGATCTCGGAGTCCACTTCTCCCAGTCCCCAGAAAGTCTTCGTTTCTAGTGTCCACTAACCCGTATCAGTCCAGCCAGTCTCTCGTCGAGGTGCTCTGTAACATTCCACGAATCACTCTTCGGATTCTCATAATTGTGGACATAGGGTGGAACTGGAAAAAGCTATCTGCTGAAAGCAGTCACCGCTACATAAACTCAAAAATGACAGTGTGCGTGCGAAAAAATCGATCACGTCACAGCGGCACAGGTTCTTCACGCAGTCTGCAGAACCGACGGTGGTGCGTACAGACCCACACCCTTGCAAACTTGTTTCCACGAGCTCATACGCAACGGCCCTTGCAGAGATTCCGTACCGACATGCTGCGCAAGACGGAAAACCCCAAAGTGGGAGCAGCAACGCCGCACTTTGTCGCTGAGGAGCGGCGCCTTGAGCTGACCTACGGCAGTCCACAAGGCTCTGCTTGCGGTTTCTGCGAATTTTGCACCACCTCCCAAATGCCTTTTAGGACTTCAGTCATGAGGCATGGTTTTTACTTCGTGTCGACAGCGTGCCTTGTGGGACGACATGTAGTGGCCCTTAAATGCATCGAAGATAAGGCAAGGTCCGCTAAGATATGTTGTGGCCATGCCTCCCATAAGGCTGCCCAAATCGTCTGCCTGACCCAGTCCAGCAGTCCAAGCTAGCGGTGTTGTTGGCGTTGTTTGACAAGAGCCCAGGAGGTTTTTCAGGCGTTTCCCGGCCTTGTTTCTTCGTCGTGCAGGCAACAAGGCTTCCAACAAGGCCGAGGCGAGTTGGGCGCTTCGCGAAGCTAGGGGTGATGAAGACCGTGCTATTCAGGGTTTACCTTGGGGCGGTCTTTGCGGAGCAAGAAACAAAGGGTCAGTTCTAACAAATATGCGTCAGGCAGTGACAGGATATTCATGGTGAGATAGTGCAGACCTCGTTCTTTAAAGCCCGCCGGTTGTGTCGTTGGATGGGGTCTCATGTCTTCCCAGGTTGACCAGGCACTCTACTCTGTGCAACTGATGGCTAGCTTCGCAGTGGTCTTTCAGGAGGCAGAGAGCAAGCCGCCACGGACAAAGAAGCTAAAGCGGCAGAGGACGCGGGTTGAGTTTGCAAAGAGTTTCTAAGGGATCTTTGTTGCTGAAGCTGAGCTCTGCTATCTAAATCTGAAATCTGCGAGGCAGGTTTGCGATGGAAGTCCAACTCTGAAGTTGCCTTTCTATCGGTTTCGCGATGTGTAGAGTGATGTATGCGGCTCGAGAGATGTCTCGCACAGACTTGGAGTGTAAGTGCAAGCCAGAAGCCTTGCATCTAGACCAGGGAAGGATCCGAGGACGCAGCAAGCAGGATCGGGTCCGAGAGAACGGTAAGCTTTAAAGTGGTAGCCGTAGCTGACATCTTGACAGCCCTTCTTGCATAGCAGCATAGTCCAGCGACCACATCGCCTAAGTCTGCAAAAGACTACAGAAACCAATTCTGGCAGGAAGCTTGCACCTCCTGGACCCAGCCAGGAAGCACCAGCAGATCCCGCAGGCACCTTTCATGAATTCAGCTGATGCTAGTTCTGCCGGGCCTCCGAGCCAGTATTCTACTGGATCCGGCAGGCCCAACCGCGACCGCCCCGTCGGAGCAATCACGGCGTGGGCGAGGCAGCAGTGCGCATGGTCTCGATGACGGGGCAGGGTGGAGTGTATGTGCACTTTCCTGTCCAGTGTGCATCCACGTTATGGTCCAACGTGCGCCCGTTTTGTCTGAAACACCGCTGGGTGCACTCTGTGCACGCTGTCGTTAGGGGTCGAGTGCAAGCGCCTTGGAGGCGTGGTCAAAGGATTGGAGCGGTGATGGTCGCTTAGGTTTGTTTGGTCAAAGGGTTGCGGTGGCATGGTTGCTCAGGTTTCTTGGGAACCTTCAATCTCCGCTGATCCCGAAACGTTGAGTATGACAAGCCCTAAACCTTCAGGCTAGCAGGGCCGGCGGTACCCAGCTCTATGCCCCACTGGTCACTGCTCTCGAAGCCGCTTCCCCGGTCCCATGGCTTGCGGCGGGGTTGGCCGCATTTTTTCAACCCTAAACCGACTAAACCCTCAACCCTGAATTGTAAAGCTCAAACCTCGAACCCTAAACCCTCAGCCCAAAAGCCCAACCCCTCCACGAGAGCCAAAACCGTAAAACCCCGAACCATAAACCCTTACACCCTCACTCAAGCCAAACCCCACCGAAGACGAAAATCCTAGGAAGTGAAGCCAGCAGGTGCCTTTTACCGAAGACAAAGACCCTTAATAGCCAAGCCAGCAGCAAGCTTCTTAACCCAAAATCCCCTGGAGTTGCCGGCCCAGTGTACGCCCCGACCGGTCAAGTGGATGCTCACTGGACCGGGAAGTGGATGTGCACTGGACCCCCCTACCGGGATGACCTTGGTGATGAAGCATCGTTGCCGCTCTGTGTGTCTGACCTGCTGTGATTGCGGACAGATCAGCTAGCCAGGACCTTTTGTGTGCAATGTTTAGGCCCAGATCAACTGCAAGACTGGTGGGATTCGTCACAGACGTTGACAGGCCGCAACAAAGACAGAAAGGCCGCGGACACGCCCTCAGCAACACTGCAACTGAGAGCCTTCGCCTGCGGAGACTCACGAGATGCCCGAGGTTCCCGACCGCTTTCAGAAGTCCTTGGCCCCAGCAAAGACTCGCAAGTCTCGCAACGCGTGCCCCGCTTCCTCCGCCTCCGAGGGCCCGCCGGGACTTCGAGGCCGCCGAGGCTGCGAAGGCCGCGGCCCAGGCAGCACGGGAGGAGGAGCAAAGGGGCGATACGGGGCGCGATCCGTGTTCCAACTTCGGGTTTAGGGAGTTTCTGCATCTCAGATCTTGGGGGCGAGGCATGGGGTGGTTTTCCACTTCGTGGGTCTGTGAGGGGCTCTTCCTTCCAGGCTACGCTTTGGGCCCTGTGAGATCGCTCCCCCCAGAGGAGTTCCGCCAGAGGCACCGCAAGAGAAAGCAGCTCCTTGGGACCCAAAGCCGTGGTGTGCAGCGTCGAGTGCTTTGAGTTCTGACTTCTCGGGGGGCTGCGACGACTTCCACTTCCCGGCTGCAGCCAAGGACTGCCAAGGAGCGTGCAGGGCCCTCGGCGATTGGAAGCCGCCCTGCATAGTTAGTCAGCTGGACCAGACAAAGGGGGCTTCGGGCGGGCCCAAGGCCACAAGGAGTCTTCCTGACGAGGGATTTGTTTCCTTCGGACCAGGCCGTCACCGGCAAGCTGCTCGCACGGCGCAATGCCAAAGGTCAGCCGTCGATGCAGAGCCTCCCGGCAGAAGTTTTGTGGTTAAAAAAAGCAGTAGAGTCCTACACGTGTGTGAGAAGCAGCCGGAGATTGTGTTGTCCCATTCCAAGTCTTGGTTGGCTTCCATTGCACGGTTCACTTGGGATAGATCTGTGTGGGTCATCCATTCTCCATGGATGGGTCGCTCAAGGCATGCTCGAGCTGGTGACAGCCAAGCTGGAGGGAGCGCCGAAGGTCGAAAAGCAGGGCTTGACATCCAGCCATACATGCATGCATACATGCATACAAGCATACAGGCATACAGGCATGCAGGCATGCATACATACATGCATACATACATGCATACATACATGCATACAGATACGCATGCATGCATGCTTGCATGCATGCATACGTTCATGCATGCAGAGATGCATGCATGCATACTTGCATACATGTATACGTACATCCTTCTATCCATCCATACATACATGCATACATACACACATGTATGCATGCGTACATACATCCATGCATACTCAAGCGTAGATACAATGACATGAATACACGTCTCTGTATCTATGCATCTACCTTGCGTACAGTCATGTCTGTTGGCATACATTTTTGTAGGCATGCGTGCATCTATGCCCGCCCGCCCGCACACACGCACGCATGCATGTATGTATCGCGGGACGAGCTCGCCGAGACAGCATCATGAGAGGTTGGCCATGAGACTCCAAGTTAGTGTGAAGGCCTGCTTAAATAAACCCTCCATTGCAGGCGGGAGCTCGAAAGCGCCGTCAGTGAGGAGCGAACCTCGCGCACGCGTTGTCCAAAAGACGACGTAATGCAATTCCGCAATGTTTCTTAGCATTAGATTTTGTTGCAGAATCCAGGCCTCAGATACCTCCGAAGTAGAGAGGGTCTCTTCAGCGTACACTCCGAGAAATGTTGGCCCAGGCCCCTATCCCGCTATCCTGCAACGCAGGACAGCCCTTGTACATATTTCCTGGCCACCGCATATGGACTCGGTACAGTCTTTGCGGCTTGAGAGCGGCCCTGCAACGCAAGCCACGTGCTCGGATTCCTCGGTGGGAGCTTGGGCAATCCACCGTGCCGCTGCCTCATGGCATTCGATTGACCAACGACTGGTGCACACAACAGGTGGATCACATTTTTGACCTGTGGGATCGATGTGAGGGCAGGCCCCTGACCTTGCAGGTGGCTTCGGTGTCACTGACCATCGCCCTTTATGCAATGATTGTCCGCCGTGCTCTGCAAAGCAATCCAGGTGGCAGATGCGTCATTTTCGTTCCAAAGGTTTCTGTCGCCAGACGAGTGCGCCGTGAGTTGAAGAGTCACAAGCTGCGGGTTTGTATGATCGGTGCTGGCTCGCCCGAGATCGATCTCTGGGACGAGACTGTCGTATGTGTGTCTGCAAGTGCGCATCGCCTGAGTGGACACAATTTTCTGATCAAGCTGGTGGATTCTTCTCAGTTGTGCTCCCACGGTCTTACTGCACAAGTCATGCGACATCAAGTCACTGCGAGCATGAGTGCTGAATTTTCCCTACATTTGAAAGACGCTGGTGCCGATTCTGCCTATACGCTGGCGGAAGCAGTTCAAGATGGACGCGCTCGCAATTTTCAGCCGTACCTCTTGCTAAGAGAGGCCCAAGACTCCTGGAAGTCAAAGCTGGCGAAAACCCTCCGAGCCACCCAGGCCCGGCAAGATCTCCGCGCGTGCCTTACCACTGCGACCATGGTAAAGCGAAGCTTGTGCACTTTTGTTCTAGATCTACCTACGAACGCTTTTGTGGTGCGGAGAGCCGGATTAAGATGTGTGAATAGGCAGCAAGTCCTAACTCAGCCTGAAGAAACCGCAGCACAACCTCGGTTCTGAGATCTTCAAGCTTAGACTTCGAGCGTAGGCTTAGACTGGCTGATATGGAGGTAAGATTTGTCACGCTGGGGCCGCATCGCTTCGGGTGTTCGATTTTTCTGGCGAGGGTTGGTCGGTGATCCAGGACTTAGGAAGCCAGGGTTTTGTGGGCAAAGGGAGAGAGCTACCTGTGGTGTAGGTTGTCATCGACTGCTGTGTGAAGGTCGACGCCGCCTGGGGGCCGGCATTGGTGGTGCTCCCTTCACCAGAGGATGCCTCTGCACTCTCGGAGTATCTCAAGCAATTGGGAGTGCCAGCAGCGATTGTCAGAGGCAGACTGCATCGGGGAGGCCAAAGGGCCATCCTGCGGCTTGTCGAGCAGGGACAGATCAAGGTCCTTTGCGTCTCGCAAATGATCTTCCACAAGTCGGACCTGCCGGCGTTCAACACCCTGGTTCTCGACACCCATGTCTCTGCAAGACCAGATGCCATCCTCCGGGCACTTCAGCCAAACCCCGGCGTGGCTGAAATGAAGCTTGTGCAAGTGGTGAGCACCTCTGGGCCTGTACCATCGCGGAAGTTGCAGCGACTGACTAACTTCTTGATGGCTCTTTGGGGGCAGACGTCGAACCTAAGCCCATGGCAGGTCCTGCATGCGGACGGCAGCACTGCTTCATGGACCCCCGAACCCCGCGGGTGGTTGACAAATTTGTGTGCTTGGTTGCAGTCAGCCGGGCGCAGGCCGAGATATGATGTACAGAACGAGCGGTTGTATGCTCACAGATTCAAGCAGGCCAGGAAGCTCTGGCTCAGCAACACCCTGAATGCGGCGGAGACGGATCTGATAAGGAGTGCATACCCCGGGCTTGCACGGGACAAGCTGCCCAATCGTGTTTCATGGCTGGTGCTACAGAATCTTTGTGCATGGATGTCAACTCATCAGCGACGCCCCCAACAGCTCAGTGAGGATGTGGTCGAACGGAGGCAGAGCGTCAGGCTGTGGAAAACTTTCAAACGTCTCCGTGAGGGCAAATTGACTCATGCCGAGTCCGAACTGTTCCAGGATGCTTTGCAGCAGACGGTGCGGCCTTGGTTGCCGATCATGATCGCATGGGTCCGTTTCTACGAACGCCTTCCGCGGTTTTTTGCCAAAGATCATGGTGAGCGGCTGCAGAACCGGAGGTGGAAGGAGGCGAACCGACTGCTCTCGCTGAATGCGCTAACCCAGGCAGAGAGGAAGCTCATGCTGGGTTGCCTGAGCTGGAAGCAAGAGCTTTCCGAAAGGCCACGGGCCTGCTTAGTTGGCCTCCGGGCCTGGATTTTCACGCATTCTCGCCGACCGCGGGACAGTGTACGGCGCGATGCTGAGGAAAGGCGTCAGGCGCTGCGATGGAAGACGGCTTTCAAACAGATGTCCAACATGGACCTGTCGGAAAGTGAAATATCCTTGCTGGAATATTGTCTGGAGGTTCTTGACACGAGTGAGCATGGCATGCCGCAGCGCGCGGCTTTGGTGTGATAGATTGTCCAAAGATTCCCCTGTCGCTCGCCGAAGCTGCGAGGTCGGGCATAGGCGTTCCAACAGCACTTGTCTGCAACGCGCACGGGTGCAGTTTTCCACGAGACCCATCGATCGGCTGTGAGACAGCATCAAGAAAACTTGATGCAAAGACGTGTGTGGGACCGAGGCCCAAATCGAGCCCTCCAGTGTTAAGACTCTCAGCCCACCTGTAGTCTCTGCAGCTTGCTTGGCTTACACCAGCTTTGGTGGACTATGCTTCTCACGTTGACAGCTAGAGTAGACCACGCGCCCTTAACTTCAGTCCAGCATCCACTTCAAGTCTGCTCCGCACAGTGCATCTTCACCTTCGTCAAAGTCAAAAGATTGATAAAGTTATTTCTGCACACAGCTCCCGTAATAGAAAAACGAGGGGCAGAGAACCCGACGTCCCCTAGACGGACAGCCAACTACGCTATCCGGCTGTGCTTTGAAGCGGATGGGTGATGACGGCCTCTCTTCCGACCTCCAGGCCCCCGGCTCTGAAGCGCCGAAGGAAGACCTGGAGAGGTGCGGGGAGTCGTGGCATCAGGTGGGGAGCCGCGTCTTCGTCCACGGCCTCGCTTCGGAAGCCGGCAGCCCTTTGAACTTTCGCTGTGGCGAGGCCTGGCGGGACTCTGTATGCGGAAACTCGACCTTTCCTTCCCATCGCCTAAAACCGTTGCCCGTTTCCACCGTGTGATTTGCTGCAACATTCGCAGTCCGAAGGGAACCAGAGCTGCAGCACAAACCGGGGCATCAACCTTCGGCTCCGAGTTGCGCTTCAAAGCCATCCGCAGGTGGTCAAAGCCCAAGAAGATGGTCGGCTCGGTGTGCGAGTGACCGGTGTTAAAGGCCAGGATAAAGCAAAGGTGGGTCCACGACTGCGGGAGTTTAAGGTGTTTTGCAGTTGGACTCATTTGAAGACAACAGGTCCAATCTTGCAGGATGTGTGGGGAAGGGGTAGTAGAGGGGGATCCACTAGAGCCGCTGTGATGCGGCACTGTGAATATGTGGTCAAAGGTTTGTGATGCTCCGTGTTGTGCCGCGGAGCACACAGGAATTTGTGCTTCTAGTTGGCAAAGAATTCGTACACAACTTGGGACCAGACCCAAAACGACTGCTTTGATGTAGTGCCCCATAATCTGGCAAAGGCAGGCATAGTTTCCATACCAATGTCAACAGGTGCGCCAAAGCTGATCAAGTCACTGGCTCAGCAGAAGCATGCTGCTTTATTCATACCATGATATATACACACATATACACATAGTTAGACAGAGAGAGAGAGAGAGAGAGAGAGAGAGAGAGAGATAGGCAAACTGTCTACTTGCAGCTACGGTCTTTTTTAGTTTCTTCTTTGCTGAGGAACAAGCCGGGGAACCCACACGTAGTTACACTACAGGTGGAGCGGGGGCCCGACTTCTTTCTACTCGTTGTTTCTCCACACGGGGGCACCCGCTCGCCGCCAAGCACAACAGGGCACTTTCTGTGTACCGCCGAGCCCGTCCACAGAAAATAGTGGATGGGGTAGCGCACTGGCGCGGGGCGGGTGGACTGCACCCGCCTCACACCCCAAGCAAAGCAAAGCAAAGAGAGATAGATAGATAGATAGATAGATAACAGAACTTGAGACCGGTGCGCCTTCGGGCGCGAGGAGTGCGCGCGGGAGTGCTCCTTTGTCCGATTGCACGGAGGAGAGATAAGTAGAGATGTGTATATATATATATATATATTATGTATACATGTATATATGACTTTCACATGCTTTCTGAGCCTCTCTTTGAAGTTTTCGGGTCAAGGCTTTGGATGGCCCTTAGGCCTGTGCAGGCTTCCCTTCTTGGGGGCTCCTTGGTGTCGTTGCTGTTCCGGGCCGCGGAAGACATTCTCCCCGGGGTTCTGGATTCTCCTTCACCTCTGCCCTTGGCCTGTCCGGTGCTCGAATTCCCGGATTCCGTCCACTGGCCCTCCTTACTGCTTGGCATCCTCTGTGGCATCCTCCTCGGCCCTATCATCGACCTGCTTTACCTTTTCCGGGTGTGGTGGTCTTCGACAGTGCGTGAGCGGCTGCTAGTGCTTCGCTCCCGGCCGGGGCCTTTGTTCCGTGTGCTCTGACTTGAATGAGCTCCCAGGACTCCACACTGGCTTCGTTGGTCACCAGCGTTTCCGAACTGACTTTAGAAGTGCGCCGCCTCAGCCTGGAGGTCCGCTCCCTGCAGCTTCTCGTGGAAGGCCGGCAAGGCAACCGGGAACTTGAACGTGCTCAGCCGAGCACCTCTGTGCACCATAGTACTTCGGTGAGCTCGCCTGCCCTGCGCTTGGTCTCTTCCCCTGGCAGCCCAGCTCCTTCTCCGCCCGCCGGTCACCTTACTGATTCCGAGAGGCGGGACCTTGCAAGGCGTATTGGTGTTTGGGTGCGCCGCTGCCTCGACGATAACCACCGAGGCCCTAGCGGCCGCGAGGAAAACCCCCTGGCTAGCCGAGTGTACTTGGTTGCGCGTGATCAAGCGGGCTTCAGTCACGACCCGCCTCTCCTTTTTCGGAGCTTCGGTGCTGCAAGAAGCTGGGTCAAGCCGGCCGGCTACGTTCCCGAGCACACCGTTTTCATAGGGTTGCCCTCGCAGTGGGAAGCGGCCATCGTTGCTGAGGCTGCTGGCTTGAGGCCTCCTCTCGACCGTGATGGCGGACGGTGATGAAAGCTCTGAGGAGCCTGAGCGGCCGCCTGACCTCCACTACGTGGTTGCCGGTGGCACTGTGAATTATGATTTTGAGATTGGTGCTCTCACTGTTGGAGACGGTGAGTCTCGCCGCACCATCTCGGTGATAGTCGTGGCGCCCTTTGAAGAGCGCCTCCTCGCGATTTTTCCGCACAAGGCCTGGGACAAGCAAGCTAGGAAGCGCAAGCTTCCCACGGGCCCTTTTGCAAAGCCAGTGTTAGTTGAGGTTGCGTGTGCCTCGCCTTTGGACAGGGCTGCTGTGTCCTCCGAGCCCCCTGTGAAAGTGTGGTTCGGCATGTTGTCGCGGCAGCTTGGTGATCAGATAGTTTTTGATTCGGGGGACCTCCCTGATATTTCTTTTGGCCCTCCGGAGGCCCCTGTGCTGCCATATGCCCCGGCCCTTCTTGAACTTGCCGAGAGTCAGTTTGGCTACCAGTCCGCTTTGAGTTCCCACGGGGTCCAGGCCGACCCTCTCGAGAGCCGCTTCCGGGCCCTTGAGGACACCCTCGGCCAGCTTAGCGCCAGCGTGCAGATGCTTGTGAATCAAGGACAGTCGCCAGCTCCGCCCGCTGGTCGTGCCAAAGGGGCTGCCAAGCCGAAGGCCCAAAGCAAAGCTGCGAAGCCCGCCGCGGGAGCCGGAGCTGGATCCATCCCGGGGACCCCTGCTCCGCCAGGACGTGCGAAGGAGGTGCCAGGCCTCGACCCGGCAGTGGTGAAGGCGGCTTTGGACTCAGGGGTGTCGCCTGGAGAGCTCAAGGAGCTCAGTTCCATGATGACCAAGAGCCGCGGTGCCCTTCCCGACTTCCCCGCTGCCCGTGCCGCCGACGACTTGGGTGAGGTCTCCGACTTTGGAGGCAGCGCAGGATCCGAGCAAGGCGTCCCGCCCGACTTGAACGCCGGCCCTCCTGTTGAGCAAGCCGTTGTCGTGCTCACCGGGCTCATGAAGCAGCTGGTGCAGGACAAGCGTCGCCCCGCTGATCGGGCAGCCAGCCTTGAGGCCGCCCTCGACCTTGCGGAGGGCTCTGTGCAAGCTGACGCCCTGGGCTCAAGTGGGGCCGGACGTTCCAAGGGGGCCGCCTACCGCCTCTTGAAGGAGAGTTTGCAGAAAAGCCCTGAGCTCATTTACCAAGAGGTCGAACGGCTCATGGACGAGGACCTCCTCTCCCGACGGGCTGTTGGCTCCCTTAGCTCTGCTCAGAGCAGCGCCCGGGCCTGGGTTGAGTTCAGAAGCAGAGTGGGCTATTATCCCACCACCATCCGGACCATGTGGTGCCTGGGCGGTATCCTTGACGCTTTGCGGGATGACCGGGTGGCCGAGGCCAGAGCACGCACGTGCTTGGCCTTGGCAGCGATAGACCAGCAGTGCATCGATGCTGGCTCGTGGGCCTATGCACAGGAGATCCTCTTGGAAAGCGCCCCGCCCCTGGGGTCGTTCCATGGGCGGAAGACTTTGATGGACCCGCTCGAAAGTTACCACACCCGCCTGCTGAGCGGCCGGTGGTCTGATCTCCTTCTCCACAGGGTCAAGGAGCTCGAAAGCTTTTTGGAAGCCAAGCGCAAGTTGGGAAAGAGCCGTGGTGGTGGGGACCCTCCCGCAGGCCGCGGTGCAGATGATGAGCCCCAGCCCGAGGGAGGCAAAGGCCGGCCGAAAGGTGGAAAAGGTTCTCCAGCTCCATCCGGAGCTGACAAGTCAGGCCCCTCCGGGGGCCAAGGCAAGTAATCTCTTTGCACTTCGTGTGTGGCCGCCGTGCCGGGCCGAGCGATGCCCCTGCCTGAGACGACGGCCCCCTTTTTCAATGCATGCACCTTCGCGAATTCTTTGGCAGAGCTCTTGGCTGACAGGACTTTGCCCTTTTGCTTCCCCGACAGCCGCCGGCCCGAACCCTTTGTGGACAGGGCCTTTTTCAGTTCTTCTTTGCACCTCTGTGACGCAGCGGCCGCTGCGGCTGCCTCGTGTGACCCGACGGCGCTGGACCTCACAGCCCGTCTCCTTGACAGTTTCTTGGCGAAGCCGATGCCGCGTGTTGGCCGGGGGCCTGCCTGCACTCCTTTCTCTATTCGCGGCTTCCGGCCGAGCTCTGCTTGCATGAGTCGCTGCTGGAAACGCCTGGCAGAAAGACTAGATGCTTGGAGGTGCCACCCCCCAGTCACGGTGGGAGACATGGGGCGCGCCGCCGGCAAAGTCGAGAAGATTGAGCAGCAGCTCGCCACGCTTCGGGACGCCTCTGAAAATTCAGCCGTCAGCATGCCGAGCTTGGCGCCAGCCAA